AGATTAAAAAGTTCCCTTGCGTCATCGCACAAGATTTGGAATGGGATTCGCGGTGCACGATTTGCTACGAAGATATGGTAGTGGACAGTGGGGCGAGACGGTTGCCGTGTGGACACTGCTACCATGAAAAGTGTCTGACTCAATGGTTTGAACAGCATAGCACATGCCCCTACTGCAGGGCAAATCTCCTTAACTATCCTCTGAAGCCTGCGGAGCAAGCGTTGCCCCGGGAGGCTCCACCAGCACGATCTGTCCCAGAATCACCGCCAATGATGGAGTCTGTTACGTCAGAGAAATTGGACCAGGACATGGAAATATTGATGCAAAAGTTCTTTGATAAGCTTTCGAAGGATTCCATTGAAAATATAAACCACAGTGATGAAGTACTTCGTGAGCATTATCATTTTTATGCTAAGTTTCAGTCTCTGGAACAGGAGTTGAATAAACTGATGGATATTTATGTTGAAAAGGATTCTTCATTGGGTGCCCATAGCACCTTCAACTCCGAAAAACTAACCGAGGACCTTGAAGCGAGCCCAAATGAGAAGTTAGCAAAAGATCAGACGCCTGCTGCCGCGGTTTCTTCTGAGGGCATGAAGAAAAAAGGCGATGATACCACCGAAAATGCTCACACGACGAGATTAAACGCAGGTTCTACCGTAAGTCTTTGGATGCGTTTGGCTGCCTTCCAGAAGTACCATAGGCGTTTGAAAGATGCCCAAAAAGAGCTGAATGATGCACTCGTATCTATAAACGAGCTAGAAGCTATTGCACGGTAACCTCTAGTCTGCAATTGTATTTTTATGCGTGCTATTTTGGACGGTAAACCTCCACATAGTGTTACTTTGGTCTAGAGTATTCTATGATACATTGTTTTTCTCAAATTAGTATCAATTAAGTAGGGTAACTTTTGCTTCCACTGCTTGAAATTTTTAGTTCTTTAACTTTTCACTTCCATTAATTTACTCAACTGCGGGGTGCTGTTGCAGATTCAAAGGTATTTAAAATATTCTTCCTGTCTAATCGTTGCCTTATGTCTCTCTTATTGATATTCTTATTATAATCATAGAAGATGCTTCAGAATACGAGAATTGTTCCCGCCTCATTGCGCTATCGCCGGCCGTACTGGATGCTTTTCCTGAAAGGCGTGGATAACTGGCGCATCTACACTGTGATCCAGCAACCGGACCATCAGCGCACGGAAATGCTTTATCAGGCTTGGCTTGGTGGCTTAGACCGCCCGTACGTGAGACCAAAGTGCATGGCCCACCAGCCGCTGTGGCTCAGCAAAAAGCGTCACATGTTGCAAAAGTCCAGGTTACAGGGGCCCGAGACGGCGATGGAGAAGTACGTGTTGGAATGGTATAAGCGCTTCCATTCCTTTCAAGGGACGGAGCGGCCCACTGTGGAGGATCTTCACATTGCATTTGATCTCGTTGAGTGTCCGTTGGATCTTAGTTATGCTTGCCAGTTGCTGCACCAGTGCCGCAACATCAATAACATTCGCTTCGACAAAAATTCTTTCCTTATTTTCCTCGAGGCATGCCTACGTGTTGACCGGAAGGATTGCGCTCAATATGCCTTGGAAAATGCGGAAATTTTAGGCTTTTGGCACATTCATGATGACTGGCGTAATTACCTTACTGGAAAGCAGTCGTGGTACCGTCTTTCCCCACTGGACGGCTTGTACTATCCATTGAATGAAAATGTTGAGCAGAACGCCACGAGGATGCCGCCAACCAGTGGAGTTGAAATAGAGTCCAGGGGTCTGACCACAGAAGACGCGGTGTCATTTCATGTAGCAGCAGCAACCACTTCTGCACAATCTACGTCACCGAAGGAAGGCGAGACGGAAGGGGGATTAGTGGATGATGAAATCTTGCGCTTGCAGGCTGAGTTGGAGGCTCTGGAAAGCGAAATTTCACTCGATGATGAAGTTGAAAAGACACGAAAAGAATCCAGATCTGATGGTGGGAAATTTGAGAAGGAATGAGGAATTTCATTCACATGCAGCACTACAGTATATGTGAAGTTCTTGACATTCATGGGGCAGATGGTCACATATGATATGCAAGCAATCGCAAGTTTATGAAGTTTACATGTCTAGGAAACTGAAACTACACACTTTATTAATTGTATCCATAATGTGATGATCATTCAGAGCGAAATAGCGACACATACTAAGCGTAGGTCTACCTGAATTGGTGGAGGGCAGAATGGGGACAGTCGACTTGGGTAGTATCCTTCGAAATGGATTATTACGATCTCGAATGTTGTTTTCACTGCAATAACCCAGAAGGGGGAAAATAGTGAATTGACATCACTATGGAGACCGTCTCAGTTATTTTTAGACGGAGGCCTATATATATATACCCACATTTACATGTTGATCCTATTGTTCAGCGATACGGTTATTGGTACTATTAAAAAACTTGATTCCCTAACAAAGTGTCATATCCTTTAACACACCTTTTCTTCTTTCATCTTGCATAATTAACGCTGATGGTAGGGAGCTTAACACGTGAAAAGAATAATAGAAAATCTAAAGACGCGTTCCTCGCGAACAAGCAACGAATCAAAGGCGTATCCAATACATATACACCAACATAAGCATTTAAATATAGCCTTGGAAAATGGGCTTCGCTCTGTTGGAACTTCCGGCTGGTGTGGCTCTCTTCAAAGTAGGTGGGGGAAAGCAAACACTAAAAGCACTTCTACACTTCAAAAACACCGCGGATGCATTGGAAACGACGACCCGCATGGTCAACGGTGAGCTCTCGAAGCCGATGCGCAAGTTTCTCAAGAAGAACTATTTGGAAAAGGAAATCACCGAGGAGTTGGCGGTTGCAGACTCGAAGCTAGCCAAGGCTATTAAGGAGAACCTGTCTATTTCTTGTGTACATGGTGACGATACCCTTCCGACCTTCCGTGCCCTTAAGGAAAACCTTGATGAGTTGCTCGAGGGGATTAACGCAGAGCAGCTTAAGCAGACTGCACTAGGCTTGGCGCACAACTTAAACCGTTACAAGTTGAAGTTCTCTCCGGATAAGGTCGATATGATGGTTGTACAAGCAGTCTCTCTGCTGGAGGACTTGGATAAGGAAATTAACAAGTACGCGATGCGTGCACGTGAGTGGTATGGATGGCACTTCCCCGAGCTCGGTAAGATCATCAAGGACAACGTCGTTTACGCCAAAATTATGCTTGCCATGAAGACTCGCTTTAACGCTCGCGATACAGACTTCTCCGATTTTCTAGAGGAGGATCTTGAGACAAAGGTGAAGGATGCGGCGATGGTGTCCATGGGTACGGAGATCGCCGAAGAGGACATTGAAAGCATTACGCGGCTGTGTCAAGAGGTGGTTTTCGCGTCAAAGTACCGAGAACAGCTTTCGGCATATCTTTCCTCTCGTATGCAGACCATCGCTCCCAACCTTACGACGATGGTTGGAGAGCAAATCGGTGCACGGCTCATTCAAAAAGCTGGCTCACTGCTGACGTTAGCGAAGTACCCTTCCTCCACCGTGCAGATCCTAGGAGCGGAAAAGGCTTTGTTCCGTGCTCTCAAGCAGCGGCAGGCTACGCCGAAGTACGGCATCCTCTACAACGCTTCCGTCGTAGCCAAGGCAAGCCCAGCCCAGAAGGGAACCATGTCTCGTGTGCTGGCTGCAAAGGCATCGTTGAGCGCGCGTATTGATTCCTTTGGTGAGGGTGATAACAGTCCGGCCTTGGAATACCGTTCGAAAGTTGAGAACCGCCTGAAGCAGTTTGAGGAGGGTATTGCATTTGGCAAGAGTGGCAATGCACGAGGTGCGGGTGCCAACCTGCAGAAGCGCGCCAATTTTGGTGGTGGTGGTGGTGCCGGCAACTCTTTCAAGCGGCCGCGCGTGGAGAACAAAGGTTTTGCGCGAAATTGATGAATTCACACAGATCCTACGGTGTACATGTTGCAAAACAAAGATAGTAAGAAAGCTGGAATTTCTTTTTCGCATTTTAAGTCCTCTTTTTATTGTCTTCGTTCTCCAGGGCGAGAAAAAGCTGGTCGCTAGTGGATTGCTGTGCTGCTCTTCGAATCGCTGTGCTGTCACATTTCCTTCTTTGGGATGGTCTCTACTCATTCCTTTATTCACCTGAGTAAAGAGAAAGATGACATAAACGCGAATATTCATGTGGAAAGGGAATGCACTTTAGCACATTGGTAAGAAATTGCAAGTTAATGTGGTCTTGGACTTTTTGTTATTCCCCATGTTGGAGCCTAATCATGTAGTAAATTTTTTGTGGCCGGCCATCAAGTTACTTCTGAAGTTTGGTGAAGTCAGTTGTGAAAAAGGACCTTAAGGAGAAATTTCCAGTCGTGTAATAATGCGTATGAGATTAAAAATGATAATTCATATAAGGAATAATTATTTCAGGTATCATTAATGCATACAATAGTGCCTACCTGTATATATCTAACTATAACCCCAAACCTCCACATCGTCCATGCGGCGAAACAACCCGAAAACCTGGTTAAGAATGGATGTCTGGAAGACTAAAAAACAAATAAAAATGCCGGATGCTTGTGATCATCTCAATATTATTGCCTCTTCCCTCATTATTTCGAACTATGATTTCCATATACACATGAAAAAGTATGGTTAACACAACTTATTTAATCAACTTTGTAGATGTGCTAGATTTGTCTATCAATCGCAGTGTTCTAAAGTCAATCTGTCCTATTGTTGATGCTTCTATTCTATCGTGATGATGCTTTTCATTGGATGAGTTTTGTGGTTCCACATTCATTCTGGGAAAACCAGTTTTGCACAGGGAGTCTTGATGACTTGTCTTATGTCGATGAACATTAGACGGTATTATCGAGCTCATTGTAGATGGTTTCCGAATAGGCTTCCATTCATCAGGTCCGCGGCCGTGTAGGCCAGAGTGTGTTGGTGTCTGTGTATTTTGCTGCGTTCGACATACCGCGCCCACATAGTTAGTTTAAACGATCTGAAGGTGTATAAGGACTGTTCCAAAGGAAGTTCGAGTACTTTGGTCGTGTGTTAGATGATGCTTCGCTGGTCAAGGGTCCTTTGAAAAAGTTGGAAAGAGGGAGTGATTTTTCTTCAAAAAGTAGGCCCATACGATCTGCGAGCCAAGCTGTCGCTCATCCTGGCGCTTGGCAAACTAAATTTGGGACGCAACACGAACCTGGACTTTCGTATTTTCGTTATTATTTATGATTTAGGCCTCCGATTTCACAGAGTTGAATCAACCCTGTTGTTGCCTCGCGCGGCGCTGTTGGTCGTCGGCTATGCAGAGGGCATGACGCATAGTTTATTTGACTATTCCTATCGGTTATCCGAGAGCATTGTATAACACAGCCTTTGGGATACAGGGTGGACGAATGAAAGGTCGAGCGTATTGCCCATAACTACGGGATACTATGAGGCTAAGTTTAACCCAGGTGAGTTAATCCTGTTTTTTTTTGATAGCGGGCTGCGTACGGCCACATAGACCTTCGAGGATTTCATTGTCGATTGCTTTCTCTCATGTTGCCAATGACAACTCAACCCTTATTGACGGCGTTGCCAGCATCAGGGCACCTATGTAGGGGTTGCAAATACTGTCATAATACCCTAGCAAAAATATGGTAAGCCGCACAAATGCACGTATTGTGTTGGTGGCAATTTTCACGAAGCCGGTCGGCATTTTCGAAGTCAAAGGTCGTTCATTGAAAAGGATCAGATGATATTAGTTCAACTGTGTAATGTATTAATGGGTACCGTGAAGCTCGACGCTGTGGAGCGTTTACCTGACAAGTCCAATTGAGACTCGTATGTAGCCATAATCCGCATTCGATTTCTCATCAACACCAGCGTCAAGCTTATGCACTACTTGAACTCAGATCCCGGTTGAAGTTTGCGCTGATCCCCTCTATTTCCTCTCCTTGTGTGAGCATATACCGTCACTGCTACAAAAGTTTTGGGGTTTTCAAATACATTCGATGGCGAATGATAGCCTCTCTCGTTCTTCCCTACAAGGCCAATGATGTGTGTATTTCGGCCACCGCACTACAAAAGTCAAACACGTTTTGTGATTGTGGGGAAGCTGTTTTTCTTCCATTTCTATTGTCTCAGTGGCTTCATTGCTGGTCTTGTTGAGAAATTAGTAGAGTTGACGGGCGAAAAGGAGCAAGGGTGATACATGAGTGAATGGAAGGGGTTACCTTCACGTGACGATGACAAGCATAGCTTTTCCGATTTTTTTTTCGCACATGCCTCGTAACCGTGTCTTTTCCTCTCAGTGTAGGCGTCTAAAATCTGAGTACCGGGGTGTGTGGCACTGCATGCGTTTCACACGGACGCACACGACAAGGAAAGCAACAAAATAGGTAAAATAGGCACTAGAAAACAAAAAAGCAAGGAAGGTTTCTTGTTAATGCCAGAGCGTAGATCACTCGGTTTACATGAATCTGCTAAGCCACTTCGTACCCTTCAGCGTTCCCTTTTTCGGGCGGTTACCCAGAGTGTCAGGGGAACTCAGGCTAACGGCGGCTCCACTACGCCGCCACCTGTGGTTGGGGCATCAGTTGAGGGAAAAGAATGCAATGACACCTGGAGTTCCCTCCTCAGACGTGAGTTTGTAAAACATATTGAATGTGCGTGTGACGGATCAATCGAGGAGGGATCTGACGCGAAGTCTAAAGCGGAAGCCGGTTTAAATGGTACAGTTGTGACGCCACCCTTCACTAGGGATAACATGCTTAGTGCGCTCGGGTTGATCATCAGCCGGCAAAATTTAGCGCTCGAACATCTCCAGCACGAAGTTATTGAGGCCCGCCTGCAAGAGGACAAGGAACGAAGGCCTCCGCCGCGAGCCAACACCCCCTTGGCAGGGGCTGACCTCAATGACACGGACCTCAGTACCGAGGACGCTGTCTTACAGACCAAAGGATACCTCGAGAACACCATGGTTGCTACCGTTTTGCAGTCGCTGCTTGCCCCAACCCAGTCTCGCTGGCAAGAGTTTTTGACTAATCGTATCAGTAAGGTGCGTGAACTAGAGGTTGGCACTGAGAAACCCCTACATGAACTGGCAGATGAGGCGCAGGCAGCCAGTATCAGTCTTCCTACGCCTGATGAGCTTCTGCAGTGCCTGGTGGATGGTCTCAATAGTGAGGAGGCACGTCTCCTTGTGGTAAATAACTGGGATATTGAGGTATGCGATACAGGCATTGATCCCTATGGGCTGATGACGGTTTTTCATCCTCACATACAGGTGCTTGCACAGTATCCCAACATTGTTCCAAGCCTGCGGCGCCTGAGGCGCTGTTTTTCAGATCTTCATCCCCAATTAACGTCGAGTACAGTCAACCCAGCAGGTCGAGACTGGTTAATAGACCCCTCCCTTGTTATTGCAGAAGACCAGCTTGATCGTCTGTTGCAAGACAACGATAACATGGTAGTTGCTGCCATTTTACGTGAAGGTGTACACCCCTTCTTGCGCCGCATCGTGTATGCACGCGCTCTTGGCTTGCGCCTGTCCGTTACGCACGGCGATCCAATCTGGAATGCGCAGTCCGATCCCCAGGCTCATCCGTGTGTCGCTTCGTTACCAAGGTACCTGAGCTGTGCGACCAAAGACGCACGGGACATGGTGAGCAGATCCCACACGCGCTCCTCCCTTTACAAGGGTCAAAAACTCGATGCTGCCATCCTGCAGTCTCTTATGCGCCAGGACGTTCGCCTGTCAGTCGGGGATAGCGATAATTACTTCACGTATGTCGACGACGTCGAGGTGTTAGCCGCGGTGATCGTAGTGGATAGACGCTTACCGAATGTCATGATCAAAAAAGTGCTCACTCAGTTAGGCCGCGTGGATAGTTCTCACGGGGAGATGTTGGATGGATATACAGTGTGCCTCCCGCAGCGTGATGGTCTGCAACGTCTGCCCCATCATCCTCGCACCTTCTTCCCGTTGTCTATGTCAAGCTCGCTTATCGCACCTCTTGGCAACATCACCAGTGACACGATCGAGCAGTACGAACTAGTTACAGCAATGTTCAGTCAGCTGTGGATGCGTATTCAGGGACCCACGCCGGAGCTTTTCCAATGCTGCCTCATTTTCGAGAATCTGCTTGCGGAGTGCGCACCATCGGCTGCTATCCACGCAACTCATCTCCTCCAGAGCTCTCCATTGATCTTCTTGCTGTCGTGGATGCTAAATGGCTTTGCAGAGATTCTGGACCCTACTGATGTGCTCCTTCTCTGGGACTGGGTGCTGGCGTACCATGTAAAAGAAATGCAACGCCGTAGTGTCCTGTCAAGTACAACCGGTCTGGCTTCTTACCTTGATGAGTATAGCGAAGAAATCGATAGCGAACATGATGATGACTGCAAGAACGCTCTACCGTGTTCCTTGTGGTTGCTGCCGGTGCTGGCAGCTAGCCTATTCGTTTTTCGTGCGCCACTGATTCTTAAATGCGAAACCCGCAGTGAGTTGGAGTCTCTCTTTGTGTTCGAGAGGCACATTCGCTGTCGAATCCTCATCCAATCTCTACTTTTTACGGAAATGCTTGGCTAAAGGAAGGGTGAGAAGAAGAGGATGACTTTGAAATATGGACGAATGTCATTAAGGCTATGCATGGGGAAGTAAGCACAATTAGTCAGTCATGCGTTGTGGTTGTGTTGAACAAATAATAAAAAATAGCTTTTCAATGTGAAACGCATTTCAGTGGGCTTTGATTATCTAATTAACCCTTTCTTTGAGTACCTCACACCTAGTTTTCTTCCGGAGATAGCTTACTGTTGGTTGCTTATTAGTTGGCCAAGATATATGAGGGTAGGTAGACCATGGTAAATTCAAATGGTAACGATGTCTCTTTGTACGATCTCCATGCCAACAGCATGGACACGATTCAGAAGCTGCGACTTGCTGTACATGAGCAGGAGGTCTACGTATCACAACTAGAGAAGCATAAGACGATGCGAGACCGGCTCCTTGCACAGCTGAACAGCGCCCTCAGACGATCGAACCTCGACACCTCAACGAATATCGAAGCGGCGACCGAAGACTTGCTGCGTGAGCTCCACAAAATGGGGCGGGAAATTTGTGTAGGTTATGGTGTGCACGACAACAAGCTTGAATTCAGAAGTACAAACGAAGACCAGATTCTACCAGCCAAGAGTCAGCACTCTTCAGAAAGAAATTCTTCCGTGTTGGTATTTAGTGACGCTGTTGAGACCCAACTATCTGCATTAACGGAAGATGATCAGTGGCTGCAGGGGGAAAGTCCATCGCTGCCAGTCACCGTGCCCATAGACACTTCACTAGAGGCTTGTCAAAGTGAGGAGAAAGTAATCAAGAGACAAAAAAAGCGGAGGCACAGGAAGGGTTACCAGGATGTTGTCAAAGTTGAGAACAGCTCCCCAAAATCTGTGGAGATTCTAAGATGTATGAAGGAGAGGGATGCCAAGCATCGCGAAGAGCTGTTTAAAGGATTGGACCGAGTGATTGCGGAAAATCCTGACGCGTTCTCACTGGCCAGTGGCATTACCTCCAAACAGCCGCAGTGGTTGACGGCTTGGGTGGAAGCCGATGCAGCACACTCGGGAAATTCTGGGGAACGACAAGTGGAAGAAGCGGAGGACTACTCCGACGACTTTGAAGACGACTGAAATCAAAATATTAGCCAGAAAAGGGGATATGTACAAAATGATACTTACGCATGGTTTCACACATGCTTTTTTCGAATAACATGACCCCTTAATTGGAGATATCATGCGCTTAGGCTTTTTGTTTTTCAGTTGTAATTTCTTTTCTTCGCATTTGCTGATCATGTTACACCATTCACCTTTATCAAGCAATGCCTCTATATCCTAACTAACTAGAGATGGATGCCCTTATTCGTGCTTTCAGTGTTCTTTTTTCAATCATTTTGTGACGTGTCCAATTTTTGTATTCCTATTTAAAAGTATAAAAGGCAACCGGCATAAAACTACGCATATATGGACATGCGCTGTGCGGTCGCATAGATCCCTTTTTTCTGTGTTATGCTCACAAGAATTGCTGGCATCATGATCAACCGCCATGCTCGATTACCAGTTCAACTTCTTTTGGATATCGATGGTACCCTGTTGATTGCCCCTTATCAAAAGAAGTTGCAGGAGTTGAAAAGTATGAATCTAATCTGTACAAGTGACTCTATTATCACCCCCGAACACATTGTTCAACCATTTCCTTTGTATGGAAGACATATCCAGTATGTACAGAATGGGATGGCGCGGGAGCGCTTTGTGGTGTTGCGGCCATTTGTTCTCGAGTGTCTCTCCCAGCTGTTGGTCCACCGTCAACTTGACACCCCGCGTGTTCATGTTCTAGTCTCCCTTTACACGAAACAGTGCGCGGGGTACGCCTCAGCGGTCTGCCAACAACTACTTGATCCATTTCTACGGAAAATTTCGTCTTTGATACGGTCGCGATGCAACACAGAATGCTTTGTGGATCCGGGACCTATAAAGGTTCCCTCGTTCTTCAATCACACATTTGGAGGAGAGCATTGTCTAGTTCATGAAGATTCCCACAGAGAGGCTGGGGGGTGGCCTAACCCCTCAGAAGGCCAGAGTACTGTCTCTTTGATGGACACAGTATGGATTTCAGGAGGCCAAGGATGGAAGAAGTCGGTGCGGGTTGTGGATCATCCATTCTCGGCTTTGTTGGTCGACGATACCGTTGATAATTTCAATCCTTTTGAACTTCAGTCTGGTCGGTGCGTGCTTGTGCCCACTTTCTCTGCCAAGCCCGAAGAAGTGGATGAGGTGTTTGCATGCAATGACGGTACTCATGAATCGCTATATAAAGAAATGAAATCACAACAGATTGAAGGTATCGAAAATACACTAGGCACAAATCAGCTTTCGCGGGAAACAATAGTGCCGACATGCCTCCGAGAGGGGGGGGAGAGACGCAGCATTAGTCTGTTTCACCTTTTGTCGGAGTTTGTCCATACATGTGATGCGTGCGCAGAAGAGCTGCGTGCGTGTGGTGGACGTAACCTGAAGTTTGACGCGAAAAGTGCATTCCACGGCGGCGAGCTGCTCCAGTTTAATTTTTTAACACGTCAAGAGGCTCAGGGCTATTATTCAGCGTGGAACAAATTCCATGCTGAGCACGAAGAGGAGTTGTCCAGGATATTTTCCTTCCACATAAACTCGACATAGGTGTCAAGCGCTGCATCTCCTTTATTATTAATATTGTTGTTGAGTAGCGCATCTCCTCACCTTATTACTTTCCAAGAATGAACTCATCCTAACTAGTTTCCTTGGAAACGAAAGAATTCATTTTGTTACTGCTAAGATACAAATTATTTAACTTGTTCTATATTAGACACTTAGAAATTTCCTGTGGTATATCTTGAGATAACTGATTCGCTCGATCACGTTTTCGCATTTTATACTCTGCTTTCGCTTCTTCTTTTTCAGATCTAGTTCATTCAATGGAGATCTTTAACAATAACAATATATGCGAAGACGCTATCTTTACTACTAAGGTTAAGTGGGTTTTGCTGCAAGGGGATTATGGTGTGCAGGCACTGCGCGAGCTCTACGCGCGCGATGCCATAGCTCGGCGAAATGGCCGTGAGGGTCTAAGCTACGATGAGTTCGACGCGTTTCTGGTCGCTTGTGGCGTTAGGCTGCGTCCCTTCGAGTTGCAATACTTATGTAAATCCTTTGACGAGGGCGGGAGCGGCACCATCACAGCCACTACCTTTGTGAGACATTTGATAGGGCTAAATCACCGACGTGCAAAGGCAGTGGAAAAGGCCTGGGAACGCCTGGAGAAGGACGAAGCGGGCAACGTGCGGTGCGTGGATCTGGTTGATACGTTTAGGCGTATCCAACAAAAGAAGTCTGTCGAAGGTGGGGGAGCAGGGTCAAACACGGGGCTGAACCCTATGGTGGCGCCATATTATAGTACCCTCCTCGGCACCATGGGAGCCGTATCCAGGGGGAATAGTGTTGGGCGCAGTAAAGACTCTGTACGTGGTCTCGGGGGAACTACCGCAACGGATTGCACGCTGAGAGCGAACAATCAAAGCAAGATCGACTCTCTTACTAAAGAAGAATTTGTGGCTTTTTACACAGGCATTTCGCAATGTGTACCAATTGATGAAACTTTCGAAGTAGCTGTCCTTCGGGATTGGGAAGCCGACGACACGTGTAGGCCTACGTTAAACGAGACTAAGCGCGATTGGGGTGAGCATGGCGATCCCTTGGGTGACCATGGCCCGCGCTATGTCCGAGACGCCGTCAACATGAGCCTTGGGACATCAACAGCATCATATAATTACTCGAAAATGCAACGCGTACACCCGTATGTTGAGCCTTTGCCACCACTAGACCGAAAGGATCTTATGCGCACGACGTGCAACCTGTGCTATGGATCCTACACAAGAAGTGAATTTAAGTCTGCAGATCCGCTGGCAACCCGATATGGTCAATCCATCTAAGCGATCTGGAATACAACTATTAAACCATGGAACGAAAAAAAATTATGTACAGTATGTAAAATATTTCGCGTTTGCTTTAACTTTCAGTCATAGTTATTACGATCTTATGTGTAGATGCACAGGGGCATGAACTCCCCGTAGTAGCCTAATTTCTTGACACTCGAAAAGATTGGTTGTGGCTTTTCCTTCTGTCTCCTTTTGGAACCCTTTTCGGATGCATTCCCTCCCCTCCCCTCTTCACGATGCGTAGGCCTGTAAAGAGCCTTTTCCCATCCCATAAGGTAATCAAGGAGAAATCAATTATATAGATAGTAATTCTTTAACCTCATCCTAATCTGTTATCCTGAACCTTTTTTCAGACAAAATCATCTTTTTTTTGTCAAAGTTGCTTTCTTCCACATTTCACCCTTTCCGTAGCAGAGATGAAGGTGGCGTCAAACACAGCAAGGGTCCTGCAGAAGGTGCCTTTGCCGGACGAGGTGGGAGAACCTCTTCTTGATGCTGCCGTATTAGACATGGGCAGCTATACAACACGTTTAGGGATGTCTGGCGATAATGCACCGCGCATGAGCGAGCGGACTGTCTTCCAGAAGATCGTGTCACAGAGCGACGGGATGCGGCGGCTGCGTAGGGGTGTCTTTGCCAGTGATCAAGACCCAGTTCGCGATGCGACCTTTGATAACGCGTACACACACCTGCTTTGCGATAACTCTACCGAGGAGTTACTGCCAGTGATGGAAAAGGGTAATGTCGTAGACTGGTCCGGTTGGGAATTGCTCATGCAGCGGGTGCATGACATGCTGGCACTGTCCCACAATGACAGCGAGGAGTGCTTCAGCTCACCACTGTTAATGACGGAGAAGGCGTTAGTACCAATGTCCCAGCGTCAGAAGATGGCCGAAATCTTATTTGAGAACCACCGTCTCGATGCCCTCTACTTTGCGCTAAGTCCTGTTCTGGCACTTTACGCTACCGGAATGTGCACGGGAGTTTCGGTTGAGCTGGGCCACACACAGAGCCACGTCGTGCCCGTCTTCCAGGGGCTCTCGCTGTTCCATGCAACTCACTACCTCGACCTCGGAGGGCGTGATCTGACTAGCTGGATAGCCTCCCATGAATACCAGGACGAGGAACGACTGTCGCTAAGGCTACGTGATGCATGGGGCTACTTGAAGGAAAAATATGCGGTTACCTTAGAGAGCCACAAAGCCATTTGTGAAGGAAATCTCAATGGCTACCATACTGAGCACCAATTGCCGGATGGAAAAGTCGTGCGACTCGGTGAGGAGTTTGGTCGCGCGGCTGAGCTATACTTCAAGCCCACTATACTGCCAAGGCTGGCAAACCCACCGGACCAGTTC